AAACAGTGAGCGGAAGGAGAACTGAAGGGAAACGGCATCTACTGATTACATATGGATACAAAGCTTTATGTAAGTGAGGGCACCGCTGGTAAGCAAAAGCAAAAGTCCTTATACAAAAATCCAGTATTTTATTGAAAAGCCCATGCTGCTCTTATATAAAAATAACCCCTGGACACATCAAAAGTGTTGGAACCCATTGGTGCCAATTTATGAGGCAAGCACTGGCAGTGTAACTGCTCCCAAGGTCCTGTAAAAGCAAAACAAACAAACAAACAAAAACAAACAAACAAAACAAAACAAAACACCAGATTCTAACCTAAACTAAAATGGAATTCACTATAAACAGGCAGAAAAGTGGAAATCGGGCTCAGAAAGGTAACTGGCGCCAGGCACAGTGGCTCACACCTATAATCCATCCCATCACTGTGGGAGGCCGAGGCAGGTAGATCACATGAGGTCAGGAGTTTGAGACCAGCCTGGCCAAGATGGTGAAAACCCATCTATGTTAAAAAAAAAAAAAAAAAATTAGCCGAGTGCGGGTGACACGCATCTATAATCTCAGCTACTTGGGAGGCTGAAGCAGGAGAATTGCTTGAACCTAAAAGGCAGAGGTCGCAGTGAGCTGAGATTGTGCCATTGCACTCCAGCCTGGGTGACAGAATGAGACTCTGTCTCAAGAGAAGAACAAAAAAAAAAGAAAAAGGAACTGAAACCAGAGCAATTCTGACAGGTTCAACACAGGAAATAACTAGAGTCTTATCAGACTCATTGCTAGTAGTCTATTGAATAAATGCTTATTGTTAATTGCTATTGAATAAATGGCCTCCCAAGCATTGCTGCATTCTTATATACCTTCAGAGTTAAACCCCCATTGGCCTAGCTCAGGTCATGTGCCCGGCCCTGAACCAAACCCAGGGCAAAGCACTTGGATGTACTGTCCCACCCAGACAGCATGCTATGGTGGAGAGGAAGCCCTCCAAAGGAAGTCAGGACAGAGGGGAGAAGAGGAAGCACAGAGACACCTCCTGTATACTGCAGGCACTCAGCTGGGTTCTTTATGTGCCATTCCCAAAACAAACCCACTTGCAGCTATGACTGGCTGCATTTCACTAATGGAGAACGTGAGGCTTAGAGAGGTTAGGGGCTGTGCCCAGGAACATGCGGCAGTAAGTGGCAAATCTGAACTCAGTCTGACACGCGATACATGTGCTTTCCAAGTCACCAGGCTGCAGAAAGCAGCGACAGAGTGATGGAGGCCCAAAGTCCAAATGTCGCCAACATGTCACATTGTTGTGAAGGCAACTGCTGAAAAAGAATAGAACATCTGAAGATGAGTCCAAACCAAAGGAAATGTACTTAAAAGAGGAAAAGAAGCAAGAGACTCAGAAGAGATCTATCTTGGATGTGTTCAATATATTTTATCTTCAAAACCTTGGTGAGAACAATTGTTTCTCTTCTGATGTCTTAGAATTTCAAGAAGGATGGGGAAGTTTACAGAAGAAATTCTGAGCATCACTAACAGTCTCTAAGAAGCAGGGAGGAATTATCTAAAGAAGCTGTGGTTAGGTGCCAACCTCTGCAGAGCTGCTGTTGAAGACACGGCTCCAGGTCTGTGGGTATAACCCCACCCCTGCACTTCAATCCTGTGTCCTGACTATCAGAACAGGCACGTCTGCCTCATCCACAAGAAGTCGCTCTGCAAGTGGCTCACGCCTGTAATCCCAGTACTTTGGGAGGCTGAGGTTGGTGGATCATGAGGTCAAGAGATTGAGACCATTCTGATCAACATGGTGAAACCCCCATCTCTACTAAAAATACAAAAATTAGCTGGGCATAGTGACGCATGCCCGTAGTCCCAGGTACTCAGGAAGCTGAGGCAGGAGAATCACTTGAACCCAGGAGGCAGAGGTTGCAGCGAGCTAAGATCACGCCTCTGCACTCCAGCCTGGCGACAGAGTGAGACTCTGTCTCCAAAAAACAAAAAAAACAAAAAAAAAACCAAAAACCGCTCCATCTAGGGTAGTGAATGCCATTTCAGGGATGTCTCTGTTTCAACCTCACAATTTCCTTGGCTCATCTCCTACAACCATCAACACTGCTGCTCCCAGGCTAGGAAAAGTCACAAAGGGAGGAGAAAGGAAGCTAAGGGCTGGACACTGAGAAGGCGCTCAATGGGTGTGCGTGAACTGTGTTGGCACCATCTATTACTCAATGGCCTCCCTAGGCTCCAGGCTATGCTTCCTGCTAACACTGAGGGCCAGAGGAAAGTGCCTCCTCTACAGAACCCATGTGCTCTTATTAGCTCTCTAAACTAATTTCTAATTAGCTATCTAATCTAATTTCCACCAGGATGCTCTGAGATCTAGTTAAGACTTAACTGTGGGCCGGGTGCAGTGGCTCACACCGTAATCGCAGCACTTTAGGAGGCCAAGGCGGATCGATCACCTAAGGTCAGGCGTTTGAGACCAGCCCATTTAAAGAGGGCTTTATGGCATTTACTTTAGGTCTTCACGCCTTCATTCCTGAACCTTGAGCCCTCCCGTCTGGTAGTTCCACACTCACCCTCTCACAGCTGGCTGGAACAGCCAGGCAGGTGAACCCTGCAGTAACTCCCCACATGACCCGATCTTCTCCACACATCCCAGCTGAGGTCAACACAGCAGGGGATGAGACTTTCACACGGTCAAAGCCAAGCAGGTGACGACACAGCCAGGACACAGCCACAGTACCACCTTTCTCCCCTCCTCCACTCTGCTACTGACCTGTCAGTCTCCTTTCAGTTCCTGCCAATGCTTCCTTGTATTCAGCCTCTGTTCTTGCTGTTGCTGATGCAGAAAGCAGGCATCTGATAAACACTGAAATAAATCATCCAACCACCCGGCCCACGAATGAACTAGTGGCACTTGGCTTACAGGGTCAAACACCCAATCACCGTCTTCTTGCACCCCCACCCCACCCCACCCCATCCTACACGCTGCCCAGCAGCCCCACAGGTAGAGAATCTCCATGGAGAGCGGTGCCTGGACCCAGCAATCAATGCCTTTGTGGACCCTACGAAGCATGCGCCCTTGCTGAGCTGCACTGGTCTGACGGAGTCCTCACCATAGCACCCTTATTCCCCAGAGGAACAGAACCTTTCATCCTGCACTTTCATTCTGAGAACCTTTCACCCTCTCTAAGCTCATCAGGCCTTCTTTCATTCAGTAAATCCAGACATCCCCATCCTAGGGAGAATTTAAAAATTCAAGGGTTATGCGGCATCTACCATTTGCCAATAAGTGGCTGTGGAATGTACAGAGCTGGCAAAGACACGGTCCCGCCTTCCAGGGGCTCGGAGTCCACTGGGGGAAAGAAATACACAAGTCGTCCCAATCCTGAGATTGGGGCCCTGTTTCCCTCTCCACTTGGGCCTTCCAGGCATAGACTCGCGGCCCAGAACCCTGGCATTGCCACCAGCCAAGTCTGAGTCTCACGGCCCCACTGAGGGAGCTCCCAAGGAAGGGCACAGCGGTGGGCAGAGACCACACAGGAGTGCCCTGTCCCCAGGCCTCCCCAGCCTGGCTTTTGACTCATCCCCACCAGCCTGTGTGTTAAGGCCTCAGCTTGCCTTCCCTTGCACTCACTTGAGTTAGAATGCAAGATGTTTCTAAAGTCACCTTCCTTCTTTAGAGTCAATTTAGAGACCAGACAAAACAGATAGTAACAATGGCAGCCTGAACCAGCAATGAACTTAGGGGGACTCCCTCCAAGGCCCTGGGCTTCTGAAACCCACCGAAGCTCACGCATGTCTCCACAGCAATGAGTGAGTGTTTTCCTGATTACCAAAATAAAACTCACTGTAGAAGATTTAGAAACAACCAAAAGTATGCTTGTATAGTTAGCATGTGCATGTATGTACATACACACATTGCTTATAATACTACCACCAAGGGACCATTACAACATGTACACACAGCTCATCAAAAACATAGCTTCTCAACTTTACCATCGAATATGGTAATAATCGATGGTTTCTGAAAAACCTCTTTATCATATCCAAGAATTACCTTTATTCCTCATTTATGAAGAATATTGTTTATCAGGTATCAACAAAGTTATAAAATGATTTTTCATTACCTACCAAGATAAATATCTGGTTTTCCTCTTTGAGGCCACTAATGAGATGATTTACATGGATGAATTTCTAGCATGCAGCCATCCTTGCAATCCTAAATAAACCCTGTTTTACGTGCACTGTTCTTTTAATATGTGACTGAATTTGAGTAATGACTTTCTAGAATTTTTGTACATCTCATACACAGATGATTCTATTTGATAGTGTTCTTTTTTATGCTATCTTTGGCAGGATTTTTTTATATCATGGTAATGCATACCTGAACCAAGATAGAGACGTATAAAAACCCTCTCAGGAAATATAAATAGCAAAGGGCTCTTTGTGTATTACCTTGAAGAGTTTCCTAGAAATCACCATGAAAGCATCTAGGCTTACTGTCTTCTAAGGAAGCAGTTCTTCAGTTACTTGTACAACTTTATTCCAAAGTGTTTTGGTTTTTTGTTTTGTTTTTTCTTTTGAGGGCGAGGGGTTCCCTTTGACCAGTCTGCCTCATCTTCAATTAATTCTAATAAGGGATGTGTTTTCTGAAAAATAGTTCACCTCATCCATATTTTCACATTTAACAGCACAAAGGTGCATTCGATATTCTCTCCTGTTTTCATCTCCAAATGTTACAATTATTTCATTTTTAATGTTACATATATATTTTTCTCTTATTTCCTTATCGTAAGTGCCAGAAATTTCCAATAATTAAGTGATATGTTTCAAAGGATCAGCTCATACTTCTCTTTATAAAGCACACTGACTTGGTCTTGTTTTGTTTTGTGGGGCTGAGGAGTTGTTTGGTTGTTTTGCTCAGGTGTCTTCAGAACAGGCTGGGCTTATCCTGGAAAGTCTCCAAAGCAGCCAACATCAGAAACAAAGACGCAGACTCCACCGGCCTTACCTCGATGAGCTTTCTTTCATAGGAGCTTGCAAGTTCTTCAGCAATTTCTCCCGGCTTCTGTTCAGTTACTGTAACTTCTCCATCAACACTCCAAAGACTTGGCACAACTTTAGAGAAAGAGAGACATGTCATAAATATTTCAACAGTATCGAAAACTATTCTCCCAGTAAAAAAAGAAAAAATTCTTCTTTCTCAGATGACTTCAGATTGAAAATGCTCTCAACAAAAAAAAAACACACACACACACACACAAACACACTTACTAATTACTTCAACAATGGGACATTTTCACCTTAGTACAATAAAACGAGTGATAAGGCCTGCACGGTGGTGTGTGCCTGTAGTCTCAGCTGCTCAGGAGGCTGAGGGGAGAGGACTGCTTGAGCCCAGGAGGTCGAGGATGCCATGAGCTATGACTATGCCAATGTCATCCAGCCTGGGTGACAGAATTAGACTTTGTCACTTTAAAAAAAAAAAAAAAAAGCGTTAAGCTGTATTTTTAAAATGCAAGAACTGTCATGAGATAGAAGCACAGGAGTCAAGGAATGATCTTGTCGCTACTTTCCATTTCAGGAGAAAGCAGGCAATGTTTTGACAGATTTGGCAAGACATAAGAGCCTACATTTGTTGTTTTGCTTTTTTTTTGGGGGGGGGGGAGGTGGAGGTTTTGTTTTGTTTCATTTGAGATGGGGTCTTGTCTGTCACCCAGGCTGGAGTACAGTGGCACAATCAATCATACAGCTCACTACAGCCTCGAACTCCTGGGCTCAAACAATCCTTCTGCCTCAGCCTCCTGAGTCACTGGGACTGCAGGCATACCCCTGCTGCACCAGGCTAATTCTTTTTTTTTTTTCTTTCAGTTTTTGTAGAGACAAGTTCTCACTATGTTGACCAGGCTGGTCTTGAACTCCTGGCCTCAAGTGATCCTCCTTCCTCGGCTTCCCAAAGTGCTGAGATTGCAGGGGTGAGTCACTGCATTCAGTCCACTTACATATTTTATATTTGCTAAGTTTCCTTTTCTACAACAAAAAAGTGATCCAGTGAGGTAGTGCCTGCCCACAGCCAGCTGTGGAGCACTAATGGGGGTCAGAATAATGTGTAAAACCAAGGATCAGCATTTATAAACCAAACTTAGGATGACAGCAAGAAAACCTCTAGAAAAACTCGAAAACCAACACAGAACGTCAATGCAAAAGACATGTTAAAGAGACTGGCTCCCAGGTCAGAGCAAGCATGGGCACAGACGGCTCTGAGTAGTGTTTCCATGATTACGTATATGCCCATATACGCCCACTCTGTAGCGAAGAGCAAATAAAGAAGAACTGGGAATGAACCAGATAGTTCCAACAAAAGCAGGAAACAAGAACAGGGAAGACCTCCCACACCAAGGGCAAAGAAAAAGATCCACAGCATGTTTAAGAACGCGGATTAACCTCAAGCCTCAAAACAAGCATCGACGACGCAGGATCAGTTTCCTGTGTGTTCAAGGACAAGAAACCCCTTGGATGCCCTATCAGCTGTATGGAGCGGGCAGTGAGGCTAAACAAGGATCTGAGACTAGCCCCCCAGTGATAGGGGTAGCCTTCAGGGAGAAGGTGAAAGTCAGTAAGGCTGAGCAAAACCAGGAGTCAAAACTGAAGCAACTAAGCCAGGCGGCTAAGCCTCCTCGAGCCGCACTGTTAGAGCCTGACGAAGGCTCAAGGCCATGAGTGACAGCAGGGAACATGCAGAAAGAAGCCCTGAGTACTGGGCCAGAAATGCACAGAGTGACCCGATCACAACAGATAACCCCGAATAGTTATGGAAAGAAAAACTGTGAAGAACTCCGTAAAGATGAGAGCCTGAATACAGTAATTTGCACTCACATCCTCTCAAAATTCCATTAAACTGTCAATTGAGGCTGGGCTCGGTGGCTGACGCCTGTAATGCCAGCACTTTTGGGAGGCTAAGGCGAGTGGATCACTTGAGGTCAGGAGTTCAAAACCAGCCTGGCCAACATGGAGAAACCGTCTCTACTAAAACTACAAAAATCAGCTGGGCATGGTGGCACACTCCTGTATTCCTAGCTACTTGGGGGGCTGAAGTAGGAGAATCACTTGAAATAGGGAGACAGAGACTGCAGCGAGCCGAGATCGTGCCACTGCACTCCAACCTGGGCAACGGAGCAAGACTCTGTCTCAAAAAAAAAAAAAAAAAAGCAAATTAAAATGTTTCCTATGAGTCGATGATGAATATAGTAAGTACCCTGATTTGATCATTAAATTTCGTATACATGTATCATAATATCACACACTACCCCATACATACGTACAATTATTACGTGTCAAAAATAAGAATAAAAGCAAAAAAAAAGGGTTTTTATAAAGGCATCGCTCAAAAAAAAAGAATTGGAGAGGAAACAACAAAATTACAGAAGCTGAGAATCAGGTAGATGACTGATAAGTAACTTGACAGACCAGAGAAAATTCCATTCCTAAATAAACATGGGTGCCACCAAAATAATATCTGATGAGAATGGAATGATTCACAAAAGGCTAATGAATTGTTAGCACGAGACACCTCTGGAAGTGAGGGTGAACACAGGACTAGAAAGCGAAAGAAAGGTTTTAAAAGTCTGTTGAAGAAGCGATTAGCAGAATATACATGTTTATCCTCTGGAGAAAACGCGGTAGGTCTGGACTGAGTTGAGGTTGGGGTATTCCATTTTTTTAATGGAGAGATAAAAGTAACACATACTCAGCTTCTGAGTTTCTCCCGTTCTTCTTCCCTCTCCCCAGCCCCACTCATTCCCAGAATGGCAGGCAGACAGCATTTGCCTCTAAGCCAGGGAATGGAAAGGTATTCTCCCAGGAATCTAAAAAAGCTCTGGAGACCAGGGGTAGTTCTCCAGTGGAATGCCACAGCCAGATCACCCCAAGAGGCCCAAAGTCAGTGTTCATGGAGCTTCGAATCAATTTCTAATCCCACTCCAACACCTCTGTAGACACCTAGAAATCACCTCCCATTTGAGAAAAGCACCTAAGAACTTTACGAAAGATTGAGAAGAAAGATTGAGACAGGAATAAACAGAGAAAAGCAACTTGCAGGAAAGAGAGACTATTTAGGGAAAACACTTCAAAAGCAAACTGTTGGTAATATTTCCAGAGAGAGAGGAGGAGACAGTGTAGTCATGAAGTAAGAATAGGGAGATATTTTAAAAAGGAGAAAAAGAAAAACACAAAGCACACAAAAGCCCTTTTGCAGAGTGAAACTATAACAGCAGAAACAGAACAGGGACTATAAGGGAAAGGGTAGCAAAATCTCCAGAAAATAGAGGCAACGAATAACAAAATGGAATACAAGCCTGGGCAACACGGCGAAGCCTCACCTCTGCAAAAACCACAAAAATTAGTGCGGTGTGGTGCCACATGCCTGTAGTCCCAGGCACTAGGGAGGCTGAGGTGGGAGGCTCGCTTGAGCCTCGCAGGCAGAGGTTGCAGTGAACTGAGATGGTGTCACTGCACTCCATCCTGGGCCACAGAGCAAGACCCTGTCCCCCCCAAAAAAGAGGGGGGGAACAGAGAACTACAAGTCCAAATGAGAAGAGATCAAGAAAGGAGAAAAAGATAATGCACAGAAGAGGAAATCAAAGATATAATTCAGAGTCAACAGAAATGAGGGGCAGGATGGAAGAGTTCAATTAACGTCCAGCAAAATGGACAAAAGCAAGCCTCGCTCACAGACTTCAGAACACAGGAGACAGAGACGACAGCCTACCAACTTCTGAAGTGGAAGAAGAATTTTTACAAACGATAAAAACTAGAAATGGCGTAGGATTTCTAAACAGCAACACGGAAAGCTAGAAAACAATGAAGAAACATCTTCAACATCCTGAAGAAAAATGATTTTGAGCCTTAAATTATATACCCAGGCAAGCCACGTGAGAGGCAGGATAAAGGCATTTTCAGACACGTGTCCTTGCAGAAACTACCTCGCACCTAAAGAAGAGAAGAAATCTAGGAATTGTAAAGATATAGGGGATCCGACACAAAAGTAAGCCAGAGAACTTTTCATAGTAACAAAAAAGCAGAAACAACCCAAATGACTATCACCTGGTAAGTCAACAAGACGTGGTCTAGGCACGCAGGGGAGTTCTATTCAGACATGAGAGGACTGAAGAGCCAACTCACGCTGCAACACGGATAGACCGTGAGAGCATTCAGCCAGGAGAAAGAAGACAGATCCAAAAGGCTGCAGATTACCCAATTCCACGTACACAAAATGTCCATAGGTCTTGGCTGCCAGGGTCTGGGGGTAGGAGGGATGAAGACTGACTGCTATAGGGTATGAGGTTTCTTTGGGGCACAACAAAAATGTTCTGGAATTAGAGAGTGGTGATGGTTGCACAGTTTGTGAATATAAAAACCACTGAGGGTAGGGGGTGGTGGCTCACACCTGTAATCCCAGCACTTTGGGAGGTCCAGGTGGGTGGATCACCTGAGGTCAAGCGTTCGAGACCAGCTGGCCAACACAGTGAAACCCCATCTCTACTAAAAATACAAAAATTAGCCAGGTATGGTGGTATGCGCCTGTAACCCCAACTACTCAGGAGGCTGACGCATGAGAATTGCTTGAACTCGGGAGGCAGAGGTTGCAGTGAGCCAAGATCCCACCATTGCACTCCAGCCTGAGCAACAAGAGGAAAACTCCATCTCAAAAACAAACAAACACAAACAAACAAAAACCCCAAAAAAACCTCCACTGAAATTATGTACTCTCAAAGGGTGAGCTGTATGTCATGTGCATTATATCTCAAGAAAGTTGTTAAGAAAAAAACTGAGTGGAGAATGTGGGCCCACAAGCAGCAGAGTTCTGGCTCGAGTAGGCCAGAATGCACCAGGAGAGACTGCCTTGGGTGCAAGTGGGAGGCAGCTTGAAGTGCCTGAATGTACCAGGGGGATTTACACACTGAGGACGAACGTGCAGTTGAATTAAGTATTAACACCAGAGAAATCAAGAGATCGTGCAGGAAAAACGATCATGCATCTCACAGCTGTGGAGAGCATTTCCAGTTATAATAATGTAATCACTGAATACTGATCTAACCAAAATGAGGATACGACTGTGC